TGAAATCACTGAACCAGACAGCTAAGAAACGGATCCTATGAAGCAAGGGGAAGACTCTGATAGGACCTGGAGGAAAAGGATTGCGAACTAAACTGCAGTCTTGGGTCAACTCTCCCAACACATTGGAGGTGGGGGAGGAGGTGAGCGACCATACTAATGATCACACAATTTTGGTCTTCATACCATCGATTATATTTATTTAGAATTATTGTGTTATAATCAAAATGTTTACACACTTCTGGAGAATCGCCTTCCCATAATTGCTTAACGTTGTGCCAACTATTTACCTATGAAAACCAAATTTCTGGAAAAAGTTTCACCATATCTCCATTCTCATTCTAACATCTGATTGTCTCTACTGTATTGAGTGCCCTTAGCCTCTTTTAACTTTAGGAACACCGCCCTGCAGTCTCATCTTGGAATTTTCAATTCTTTTATTATATTGATATCTTAATAATTTTACTTCTCTTGACAGTTGTATTAATTTAATTAATTAATTAATTTCATTCATTATTATAATTTACTTTGCCTAGATTGCGCACCATATCCTAGCTGTCAGACTCACCTCTCAGCTCCTTCCCACCAGCCATGATTCTGATCAGACAACTACGTCTCTTTTCCCGCCAAATGACATTGCCAGGGCGAGTACCTGCACACCATCTAAATCTAACTTTGCTTTGCCACAAAATGGGCCCTGTGGCTTTGAGCCTAGCATTTTATCAGAAATCCACTTTAGCCTGGGCTTTCATCGCGATGACCCTATTTGGCCACATCTGGAGACAACAACTAGGCGCATTAATACTGAAGGCTGCTATACCCCCAGCACCCAACGTAGCAATTGCCCAATTAAGAACGGTTTACTCGAAAATGGCAAAGATTTGAGCCCCGACATGAATTTGAATTTAGCTCAGGCTCATTTGGATGCCCACCTAGCTGTTGGGCAACCCCTTCCAAACTGCCTGCACTGCTTGCCAGGCTGTCCTGAAAATCGACCTTTGGAACTAGTCAATCCTCCACCAGCGCACTATTGGTTTCCGCATCGCGTCTGGAAAGTAAGACTAATAGGGGAGAGTGTGGACGATTGTGGTGGCGGATTCAGTGAGTGCATCGCTGAGATGTGCGATGAGTTGCAGCAACCACATCTGACTGGTTTGCCAATCCTTGTGCCTGCTGGGCAAGTGGCGGGAATAGGTGAGTATATACGATTAACGCTTTGCCATAGAAAAGTTGGAAATTGTCGTTTATTATATTTAAGCTGTACTTTCGCACATACTTGTGACCATCAATAACACAGTAACATTCAATGGATCCCACGTAGGTCTTAGATTACCATGAGATTCACTGAAATGTCATCATTCAAAGTTGTCAGAACGTAATCTACTTAGCCCTCGTTTGGACCATTATGGGTCCCTAACGACTTTGCTGCAAATTTGTTCATTTTGAGATGATAAGATAGATAGCTCTGAAGACCACATGTCTATCAAATAATACCCATACTACCTCATTTAGAATAATCGTGTTTCAAAATAGTTTAAATCATTTACAGGAAACTCGTTTATATCTGAGAGTTTGGTACACCTAAAGTTTAGTTTTTGGCTTTTCCCTTCCTAGGACTATTTTTTGTAATGCATTATAAGAACAAAATAATACGTCTCTTTTGAAAGTTTCTAATATAAAAATCTCTTGTGTCTGAAGAATTTGCAAATGGAGCTTGTTCGTTTGTTTCTTTACTCTAGGGCCACTTTAATTTGTACCCTTCTATACATACTATCGTCATAGTACAATTCAATGACTCACGATTGTGTAGTCCAGCAAAGGTCTTTTAACTCGTTTGACATCTAAAATCATATCATTTTCAGTTGTGCCGGATGAATTAGCTTGTCGGTAGGATTCCAAAAATGTAATTTGTTACTATAATTCCAATTTTCATTTGTAGTTTGTGCTTCTAAAGAAGTTGATCTGCAGCATCACTTCACAAATGTAACCTCTGGAAGAATCCTTTTAAAACTACAACATATATACACTTATCGACACATTTCAAATTGTATTTGTTTGTTTGCATACTAATTAATTTACGCAATGTAAATAGCCAGCATAGAAAGGCCAAGACAACTAGATCTCTCCACGCGGGGAAAATTAAATATAGCTATTTCTGAATCCATAGTCTTATCAGTAGTGTTGTATTGATAAGGTATATAATTCATCATTATATAGATTTTATAAAATTTATTCTTAACGTTAACATTTATTTTT